AATAAGTCCTTTTCTTCCCAACTTGCATTTGGTCATAATATTACCACAGCAACAAAGCAGCAAACCAGGACCCATGTCTTCTTTGATTAAATTCTTTTTTCCTTTCAAATATTTGACTTGCTAATTTACTGCCGCTTATTCTGTAATTGCTTCTCAGGAATCAGGTTTTATTTAAAACTATGTTTATTTCTTGTCATCTTTTTGTGTTTTTCTTCTGCCAGTCTGAATTTTTAAGGTTCTGATTTCCTGTTTGTCATGGAAAGTAATGGGAGATTGCCAGAAAGAAAATACATTACTGTTATCAGTAATAATTTTATGACTCATTAGTAAGGGTTTATAGTAATATATTTTAAAATATATGGCAATAGAGAATATTCAAAAGATAAAAATCCCTGTCTCATAATTATCTTTACTTTCAAAGTATTAGATTATGTTAGAACTATAACATTAGAAAGTGAAAACTAGCCGGGCGGTGGTGGTTCACGCCTTTAATTCCAGCACTCGGGAGGCAGAGCCAGGCGGATCTCTGTGAGTTCGAGGCCAGCCTGGGCTACCAAGTGAGTTCCAGGAAAGGCGCAAAGCTACACAGAGAAACCCTGTCTCGAAAAACCCAAAAAAAAAAAAAAAAAAAAAAAAAAGTGAAAACTATATTCTGTAAATATTTCCTTAGTGCTTACTATGTAGGAAGAGAAATGCTGCTACATAGTTACTGTTAAATGTATATTTTCACCAATTTATAAAGGTCTTTGGCATCATATCATGTCAATCCCAAACTTGCTTCTCATCACTAAGTAGCATATTTAAATGGTTTTAGATGTTATTACATACACATAAAATGTTCTTTATATAATGCTTCAACCTGAAGTGTTTAAGGTTGTGTGGAGTTGTTAGGATCTGGGGGGTATTTGTCTAGACTTCATTGGTTATCCATCCCAAATCTGGAAATCCAAAATATTTGAAATGCTTTCAAATGAGAAATTTTGAGTGCCATAATCCTGAAGCATTTGGATTGCAGATGTTTGTATTAGCAGAATTGACCTGTGTAGAATCTTTTAAGCTACTTGGTATGATTACTTTGAACAGATATACTGTAGTATATTTAATAAAACTTGTGTTAATAGATTGTCATTAATTTTCAATTTCTTATTATTACAAGCATTATCACAACAAAAATCCTTTTACATAGATCTTTCTGGTGTGTGTATATGTATTTCTGTAAGGTAAGATTCTAGAAGAGTTCCTGGATCAAATATAATATATGGATTAAGAATTTTAATAAACACTTGCCTTTTATTTCATTATTATTAATTAAATTTATTTTTTGACAGTTTCATAACAGTCTAGTTCTTTTCTTTTTTTTCAAGACAGCGTTTCTCTTTCACCTTAACTGTCCTGGAGCTTGCTCTGTAGATCTGTCTGGCCTCGAACTCAGATATCTGTCTACCTCTGCCTCCTGAGTGCTGGCATTAAAGACATGTACACCACTGCCCAGCTTTTCTAGATTTTCTTTATATTTCTAGCAACACCTCTCCTACTTACAAATCCATTTCCCGTATCTGTGGGGCGTTTACCCACCAACCCCACAGCTCCCCAGAGTTTTCTTGAGTGTGAGCAGCAGGAAATATTAGATAGAAGGATTTATTGTGGAGAATATTGGAGAGATAAACAGAAAATAAAGGATGACCTGGAACCTTTTCTAACGGGCCCCAACTGTCTCTGCCCCAGGGTATTTATAGAGACGCCAAGGGGTGGAGCAAAAGACCTCCTCCCCCAGCACAGCCAAGTGCAGACTATCTCAGACACCTGCACTCAAGCCCGTGGTCCTAATCACCCTCTATGCGGACCTGCTGGGTAAAGCCACGAGGAACCTGAAAATGGGCTCCCACACATATCCATGTCTATTGTTTTGCTTTGTGACCCAATGAGTTTAACCTGGGCTATCTGTGTAGCCATGGGTGTGGTATTCATTGGATCCTGGTGGGTTCACTAGTGGATATGCGACTAAAGGCAACAACTTCTCTATCCCAGAATATATCTGTAGCCAGTAGTTCAGCTGCTAGGGGGAGGGCCCCTTGAGCTCCTCCTTCATCCATGTCGGGCTATTGGCAGGCCTATTTGTGTGGAAGTCAGTGTAGGCAATTGCAGCTCCTGTGAGTTTGTGGTTGTGATGGCTGTACCATATCCAGAAGGTAGGATTTCCCATTCCTTCTCCCTGTCTTCCTGCTTTTACATTCCTTTTGATCCCTATTCTGTAATGTCCCCTGAGCCTTAGAGGGGTTTGGTATAGATGTCTTGTTCAGTGCTGATTATTCAATATCCACATCACTTGGAACAGCCATGGGTATATGCATTCACCCATAAAGGAATGCTATTGCTTGACATTAGTCCCTTTCCCTCCTTTCCCCCATTCCTCACTTTCCTCTTTCCCTTCCCCTCCTCCCTCTTTCCTCCTTTCTACTCTCCCTTACTTCTCTCTGTTGTTCTCCTCTCTCACTCACCTCCCCTGCGGTTTTCATAGTGCTGGGGATTGAACGCAGGGCTTTGTACTTGTTGGGCAAACCATCTATCACTAAGCTACATCCCATTTCCATTGATCTTCTTTTCTATTCTTCTATGCTTTTGTTTATACTTGGCCAATTTAACTAGTCAATATGTTTTGTTTCATTTTGCATTTAAAATTACAATAGAGTTTTCTTGATTATCTTCATTGGGTGCTTATATTTTATGTATTATGACCTGTACTATGTTCTTGTCTTGGCTCAATTTCTAGTGGTTTATACTTTATTTATTAGTAAAATTGTAGTATATTGGAGAAAATAACCCCTTGTTATATGTTGGAAACTTTTTGCATTAGTTAATTGAAAATTTTCATTTATAGGTAGACGTATTCCTTATTTTTATTGCATCTTGTTTTGTTTCATGCTTAGGTATTCTTTTACCACCAAGATTAATAAGAATTCAAATGATTCTTTTATCACAGTACTTTGATTTTTATTATACTGAAGGCTTAAGATGTCCATGAATGTTTGTTTTTTCCCCTTTCTTAGGTTCTGAATTTAGCATGTACATGATCATCAAATACTTTGAAACCTCCACATACTATTTACTATGTATCAGAATAGAGTATAAGATGGTGTCTTCCATACTGCTTAATTGAATACCAGGTTATGAGTACTTAGACTTGATATAAATCTATCAAGTAGGGTAACTTCTGTTTGTTTACCTCAGATAATCTAATTATAATCTGTTTTTCACTCTAATTTTTAATAGCCTCTTTTCACAAAAGTGTCTAATTTTCTGTGAGAGTGCAGGATTATATGGGATAGCTGTTTACTGGGCTGGTTCTTTAGGGTTCTGTAGTATTGAGTCTTCACTGGATTGTGTTAGCACTTGCTGTTCCCCGATACCAGCGAAACTTTATTTGCTTTAGCTTCAGAACAAAACCTCTCATTTCTGTTTGTTGTGTTGAGTTTGTTACTAACTTCAGAGTTGCTTATATGAGCTATTTACAGAGTAGGTCACACTTTTGTCTTCATTCCATTGTCCAGAGCAATGCTCAGATTTTAAATAAAATGCCCCAATTCTTATCTGTTATTACTCTAAAATAGTTAAGCATTTTTCTCTGTGTGTACATGTGTTTTGATTTTTCTGAATTTGTGAATGGCTATGACCAAGTCTTTTAGCCTGCCCAAACAAACCTTTATTAGTTAAATGAATGTTTGTTTTGTATATCCCAGATGTGAATTATTTTATGTTGGATTATTGCCTTTTGTAGTGTTTTAAGAAGCTCTGTTCTTCACATAGATCCTTGTGTGGGAGCTGTTTACCAGTTTGGAACAGCATTGATAAGTCTTGGTACTTGTGCTCTGATAGACAAAATTTTAAACTATCTTGTATTATTGAGACATTGCTTTGCTAGCCTTTCTTCCTTAGTTCTATGCCAAATCCCCTTTTATAATTTAGATAAATTGTGTCCTTATATAGTCTTTCTCTATCTCATGTAACCTTTCCCATCCTTGATGAAATGTTGATGGGTTCAGTTTTATTCAGGCCTTCTGTAGGTAGCTACAGCTGCTATGAGTTCACTTGCACAACAGCCTCATCACATCCAGAAAACAGCCTTTCTCAGCATTCTTTCACCTCTTGCAGCTCTTCCATTCTTTTCTCCCCTTTTTCCTCACCCATGTTTCCTTAGCCAGGCTTGAGGTATGTGTGATAGCTTCCATTAGGACTGGGCACTCAACAGTCGCTTATTCTCAGCACTTCATCAGGTGTAAATTTTTACAAAATCTTTAGCTTCTTAAAATGTTTATTTTGTTTTAATTTATACTTAATATATTTACAGGGCACAGTGTTGGCTGTTGTCTCTCATAAAAGTGTCACAGATGGCAGGAACAAGAGTACCATCATGATCTATGCACTGTTTTTCATTTCTTTGTATGCATCAGGTGGCCAAGCCATGCCATTCTTCTAGTAAATTGTAACCAGTAAGCCGCTGAACATATTGTGATGCTCAGGAAGCTGGCTGGCTGGCTGCCTTCTTTTTCTCTGCAGAAACTGTGGGCACTGGGAAGCCCTCTCCAACCCTGTGTGCTCATGTGGAAAAGGGAGAAAGGAAGTACTGATGGAGTGAGACTGTCCCCAATACCCTTGTCATTTGGGTTTTGTTTAGTTCTTTTTGCTAGATGGGCATCTCTAGCTTTTCCCTCAAGTTTTCTTACGTGTGGATAGATGGTAGATGAACTGTTTGTAGGAAGGAATTAGACCAAGCTCTCTTACTCTACCATCTGCTGATATCACAACCAGCTTTAAACTATTATCTTTGGGTAAAGTTATTTAATACAGCTGTTTGTAGAGTCTTATCTGCAGATGAGAATTTTCATAAAATTATTTGACAATTTTATCCAGGCACTAGTGTTTATTTTTGGTAGATACATAGCCATGTCTTATGTTTTATGATTTGGAAAATACTTATATAATGTCTGTTTTTTTCCCTGTAGAGAGTGATAACGAACTCTCAAGTGGAACAGGTGATGTGTCAAAAGACTGTCCTGAGAAGATCCTCTATTCTTGGGGAGAATTGTTAGGAAGATGGTAAGAATTTATTTTTCTTATTCAAAAATTTACATTTACATATTTAGTGTTAATTTTTATACTGACTAAAAATCTGTCAATAAATAAAATTTAAACTGTAATATTAAAAGCTATCTTAATATCTGAGTATACTTTAAATTAATTTTTTAATGTGTTTTGTATGCATGATATGTGTGTGTGACGGTGTGTGTATGGTGCTCAGAGGACAACACTGTGGATCAGTCCTCTCCTTTTACCTTTATGTGTGTTTCACGTACCAAACTCAGTCTCCAGGCTTGTACAGCAAGGGCCTTTACTAACTGAATACACAGGCCCTTGATATACTTAATAACATAAAATTAAAAGTGATTTATAGAAACCCTTTATGTTTGTCTGTCTAGATCTTCACCCAGTGTGGGTTCTAGTTAAGTTCCTTTCAGAAGTCATTTCTCCCACCCAAACTTTGAAAGCTAGGTTAAATGAAAAAATTCTGGGAAAGGTCTGAAGTGCCATAGTATTCTCGAAATGAAATAACCTGAATGGTTAGGTATCATTAAATTCATTTTTTTTATTAAAATAATTTTCCTTCTTACCTTTTGTGTTTTATTTTTGAGAAAGTATTTCACCTAGCCAAGCTGATCTTGAATTTTGCCAAGGATAACATGAATTCCTGATGCCCCTTCTTCCACTTCCCAAGTGCTAGCATTACAGCATTCCCCCAATTGAGTTAAATGCTCACTGCTACTTAAACATTTTTTTTTCTTAACAAAGAAAGCTTGAAACCTAATCAGAAAATTCTACCAAATATTTATAAAAGGCGAACTGTTAAGTGTGGTGATATTGTGTTCCCCCAAATTTTGTGCACCCTAATAAACTTATCTGGGGTCAGAGAACAGAACAGCCACTAGATATAGAGGCCAGAAAATGGTGACACACATGCCTTTAATCCTAGCATTCCAGAAGCAGAGATCTGTCTAGATCTCTGTGAGTTCAAGGCCACACTGGAAATAGCCAGGTGTTGTAACAAGAGCCTTTAATCCCAGGAAGTGATGGCAGGAAACAGAAAGGTATAAAAGGTGTGAAAACCAGGAACTAGCCTGGTTAAGCTTTTAGGCTTTTGAGCAGCAATTCAACTGAGATGCATTTGGATGATGACTCAGGCTTCCAGTCTGAGGAAACAGGATCAGCTGAGGAATTGGTGAGGCGAAGTGGCTTCCTTCCTTCCTTCCTTCCTTCCTTCCTTCCTTCCTTCCTTCCTTCCTTCCTTCCTTCCTTCCTTCCTTCCTTCCTTCCTTCCTTCCTTCCTTCCTTCCTTCCTTCCTTCCTTCCTTCCTTCCTTCCTTCCTTCCTTCCTTCCTTCCTTCCTTCCTTCCTTCCTTCCTTCCTCCCTCCCTTCCTTCCTTCCTTCCCTCCTACTTCCTCTCTCCCTTTCTCCTTTCCTCCTTCCCTCCCTTCCTTTCCCTTACCCTCCCTCATTCATTCATTCATTCATTCATTCATTCATTCATTCATTCATTCATTCATTCATTTATATGTCTAGTTTTTAGACCAGTATTACTTAGTTTTATTCTAAGTCCCTGGGAAAGTCTCAGGTTCTTGATCATCCAAGCAGTGTCAGGTATGGGTTCCATCTCATGGAGTGGGCCTTAAGTCAAATCAGTTATTGATTGGTTACTCTTATCTTTTATCGTATAATTTTTTTTTTAAAAAGGAAGAGACAAATAAGATTTGAAAAAAAATATAAAATGGTATCTTATTTTCAGAGACATAATTTTCACTTTCAAAAAACTCAAAAAGTTTGTATAAAACAAGCAGACAAACAAAACCTAACTTTTGTTTTATATACTTTTTTTTTCTTTTTTTGAGCTAAATTCTCACCATTATAGCTTTGGCTACCCTGGAACTTGCCATGTAGATAAGGCTGGCCTAGAACTCAAAAAGATCTGCCTGCCTCTGCTTCTTGAGTGCTGGGATTAACGCCATGCGTCACCACTCCTGGCCTTATTTTACAGTTTTACAGAATACAAATACACTAATTCTACATGACTGTACTAGCAATGAAAAGTCAGATGGAGGACATAAAACATATAAAACAAAAAACCATGAAACACTTGTGTAGAAATCTAGCAAACTGCTGTCCTTATGCTTTGAAACAATGGAAAACAGCAATGAAAGAACTCATGGACTGAAAGAACCAATATTACTGAGATTACTGCTGTTTCCTAAGTAACCTGTCTTCTTAGGTAAACTTCAGTAAAATCTCCAGCAGAATATTTCATAGCTACTAAGCTGATCACTAAATTTTTTTTTTTTTTTCGAGACAGGGTTTCTCTGTGTAGCTTTGCGCCTTTCTTGGAACTCACTTGGTAGCCCAGGCTGGCCTCGAACTCACAGAGATCCACCTGGCTCTGCCTCCCGAGTGCTGGGATTAAAGGCGTGCGCCACCACTGCCCGGCCAATCCCTAAAATTTATATGAAATGCACATTGGTTGTAACATTCATTGTTTCTCTCTGCTGAGTAGTATTCCATTGTGTATATGTGCCACAATTTATTTATCCATTCTTCAGTTGAAGGGCATCTAGGTTGTTTCCAGGTCTTGGCTATTACAAACAATGCTGATATGAACATAGCTGAGCAAGTGCTCTTGTGGTATGATTGAGCATTTCTTAGGTATATGCCCAGGAGTGGTATAGCTGGATCTTGGGGGAGATTGATTCCCAATTTTCTAAGAAAGCACCATATTGATTTCCAAAGTGGTTGTACAAGCTTGCATTCCCACCAGCAGTGGAGGAGAGTTCCCCTAGTTCCACATCCTCTCCAGCATAAAGTGTCTTCAGTGTTTTTAGTCTTAGCCATTCTGACAGACGTAAGGTGGTATCTCAGAGTAGTTTTGATTTGCATTTCCCTGATGATTAGGGATGTTGAGCAATTCCTTAAATGTCTTTCGCCATTTGAGTTTCCTCTGTTGAGAATTCTCTGTTTAGTTCTAAAGCCCATTTCTCAGTTGGACTGTTGGTCGTTTTGATGTCTAATTTCTTGAGTTCCTTATATATTCTGGATATCAGTCCTCTGTCAGATTTGGGGTTGGTGAAGATCTTTTCCCATTCTGTAGGCTGTTGCTTTGCCTTGTTGACTGTATCCTTTGCTCTACAAAAGCTTCTCAGTTTCAAGAGGTCCCATTGATTGATTGTTTCTCTCAGTGTCTGTGCTACTGGTGTTATATTTAGGAAGTGATCTCCTATGCCAATGCGTTCAAGACTCCTTTCTACTTTCTCTTCTAGCAGGTTCAGAGTAGCTGGATTTATGTTGAGGTCCTTGATCCACTTGGACTTAAGTTTTGTGCACGGTGACAGATATGGATCTATTTGCAGCCTTCTACACATTGATATCCAATTATGCCAGTAACATTCAAAACAGTTTTGAAAATAAAGAATAAAGTAGGAAGACACAGTATCTGTTTCAGTGTTTGTATATTAATTGTCAGAACTTGCAATGTAAAGGTAGACATATAGCTCCCTGGCACAAAATGAAGAACTAAGAAGTAGAGGCAAAATTTCTAAATATTTCCAGATAAGACATATGAATAGCCAAGTTTAAAAAAAATTCAACTTAGCCATCAGAGAAATGAAAATAAAAACTATTTATTGAGTATTGATTAAAGTACCCATGCATGAAATATTTTTCTTACAAGTTCCTGTTGATTCAACTCCATGAGCACTTTATGTATCTGCAGTTTTCATTTTTGTCTGGCTCTTACTTTAATTTCTATTTTATAAAACCATTAACAATTGACTCATTCATCTAATGTCTTTTTTGTTTAATCATCTTTTGTTAGGAACTCTAGTGGCCACTGACAATTGAGAGATGGCATGTGAGCTAGATTTTACTCTCAATCTTTATCAAATTATAAAGGCAAACATATTTTAACAGATAGTTGTGTTATAATTGATAAGTGCTTATTGCAGATATTATAGACCCAGTGGAAAGTTTGAATATATACACAATAGAAAAATGACAATAATTAATCATATTCCCACCCATCCAGTTTTAGTAGGCACTGAAATAAAAAAACACCCACAAATTCCTTTAAGATGATATTGTTAGTATTTTTAATAATTACTTTTCGATATTAAATTTTTTGGTAGTGATGATTAAATTCATGTCTTTAAACATGACAGACAAGCATTCTACCCTTGAGTTCATTTAAAAAACAATTGAAAAAAATTGAGATAGGATTTATGTTTGGCTTGAACTCTTGTCTGTCAGTTTTAGCTACTCCAGGTGCTAGGACTACAAGTGTGCTTTACTATATATGGTAATGCTTTTACTTTTTTAGTACTGTAACCTGGAGGAAGGGACAAATTGATTAATAAAGATGTTTGATTGTATGCATTGATCAGGTTCTTATCAAACTGATGAACCTTACGTATGGAGAACAATTTCTAAACTGAAGACTTCTGAGGTAGAATTGAGAAGATTTCTCAGCTAAAATTCAGTTATCATATGTTTTTAAAGAAATAAGACACAGTATTTTTGACTTGTATTTAATTAATATTACTTTAGATATTGATAAACATTAATACCAATATTATATTAATAACATATATTTTAATTCAAGAAACTCATTAGAAGAATACAAGGGAACTGTATTGAGGAACTAAGACAACTGATTTTTAACCCCTTACAAAGCTTGCTAGATGTTTTTCATTTCATATCCTTTATTTCATAATTGTTTGCTCCCAGGGTTCGCGGAAGAGTCTACCAACCAGCTGAGGATTCAAATCTTAGGAATATTCAATGAATCTAAACACACTGAGTTCTTTAGTTCATCCACTTTATTCTTATATGGCTATTCTATCTGCATTGTTTCTTTTCTGCTCTCTTACTTAGGTCCTCTCAGTCCCTCCTGCTCTCAGTCCCTCCTGCTCTCGGTCCCTTCTGTTGTTCTCTCATCATTCTACCTAGTTCTTTCCATCTCCGTCCTCATCTTTGTTCTTCTCCATCCATCCTCTTCGTGCTCTCAGAGAACCAGTATATATACCCACACAGTAATTCTTTGGTAAAGCAGTGTGAGGCTTCAAGTTTTCAGGGTCTCAGAAAGAGGTGATAAGGACCCACACATAAAGCAGTTAATTGTCAGCTTCCAATTACAACCCCAAAGGGGAGTGGCTAAAGGGGAGTTCTCTGGTAGGGTCAACTAAAGGCTAAGATCATTAGGGAATTTATGTGCTCAAACTATAATCTAGAAATGGCTAGGTAAAATGTTAGGGGTCAGTAAGTCACAAGAAAGTAAACTGTCTTTGGTGCCACTTTTCCCACTCATCCCAGCTGCAGCTGCTTTCTGATAGGGAGGGGGACATATGTTAGGTGGCTAAGCACCCTATGTCATAGCATGTAGCATTTGGTTAGTAAAAGCACTTTCACTCAGAGTAATTGCTGAGGAGAAAATTTAGGAAAAGCACCTGGCTGAGGAGGAATAAAAACTTAATTTGCACAAGTAAGTAGCATGGTACCTATTGCCTGCCTGGCCTGGAGGCAATCTCCTTGAGTCAGTGGGAAGTAACTGCCTTAACTCAGTATCTAGCAAATGGCTAAAACTTCATCCCAGGAATGTGAGCAGTAAATCTCTTAAGTTAGGGTCTTAGGTAAATAACCGGGGTGAAGGTAAGGAGTTGAGGATTTAATTGTTAGTGGTTCTTTTCTCTATCTGTGAGTGAGATGAGCTAATGTTTATCTAAGTGCAGTTTTGGAAAACTTGGAAAAAGGTATCTTTGCTGAAATCCTTTTGTCCGGGGAATGGCCCTAGCCAGATATATGTTAGGGGTAAACACAGCTGGGGCAGTTGTCCAATTACCCCAAATGTATAGGAAAAGCTGTGCCCAAGATTGAAATGCAGTCATGAGATTACATGTACACATAACATGGAAAAAAACACAGTAAATGGGGAGAATCATTGCTGTTATTGCACAAGAAGTTTACAACAAGAGACAGCCAGTTCATTCAAAAGGCAGTAATTCCATAACGCCTGTGTGATGGTTTCCTCTAACAGAACCCTTAGTTCTGATAGGTTGACCTTCTGAACACTAGTTGTCACTGCTGTATATTCCCATGGACTTTGGCTACCAGCGGCTCTCAATAATTTCATTTGAATTATTAAACCTCAGTCATGGCAATAGATACTAAAAAGCATAAAATTTACCTAGAGAAATTGTGTCTGTTATAGAAGATTAGTAATTTAAAAATGATCATTCTCAGAATTTCTGTTTTAAACATTTGTCTTTTTTAGGTTTAGAAATGTTAAAATTCTTGGGAATGATAGGTTCACATGAAGTTTTCTTTTTCTTTTTTGATTTATTAAGGTAAAGCACCATTTGCATGGAGTTCTATAGTTTATGGTTTTGGAAATCCCCTCTTTATCCTTCCCTTCTCTCTTGCTTTCCTTCCTTTGTTTATTTTTTATAAATATTAATTGCATAATTATATTTGTATCAATGTAGTTATACATTTATATACATGTTATATAATTATAAAATATATAATTAAAATTACCTTTATATATTTAAATAAATTTAAATTTAATTAGTTGGAGCAAATGTGTTTAATATGCATTCCACAAAATATGACCACAGAAAAGTACTAATTGTTCATGAGAAGAACTGAATAAACTATTTGATACCTGGAACTTCCTAGAAGCTCTCTTGTTCATTATCCAACTGAGTCTAAGACTACTTAAAACTATTAGCATCACTGTAATTAATTTAAAAATAATATAAAAATTAAAAATTAAAGGACTTTCTTAATTTTATTACATACATATGTACTTTATATATGTTCTTCCAAATTCTTTTCATATGTATGTTTAAAAGCAGGTTAAAATAGTATGTATCTAAAATAATAACTGTATACTATTTTGAATCCTGTCCCTTAACAGCATAATCATCTTCTTTAATAATGATAATTCTGTTATCTTTTAACTCTTTCTACTTCATTTTGACTTGCGTCCATCAGTTTTTACCAGTATCCATTGTCTAATTGTCCCAATCCTCTCCACACGGAAATGTAGCTGAATGAAAGCAGGATGGTCATAAATGTGATGATTTACACAAAATCCTGATGTGATAAGTTTACTTGAACTTATTATGTAAGTTTGGAACATTATGATTTTCTCCAAAGATATGTAGATTATGACAATATGAAGGGGGAAAAAAACCTTTGAACACATTTTTAGAAGTAGATGCCAAAACTTGGGTCTGGGCTGGCGATAGAAGAGTGTGCATAATTTGGAGAAGTATGTGGGATACCAATTATGTAAAACAGACATATGGATTCCATGACTTTTCAATTTTAAAACTGAAATTAGAGCCTGGTGTGTTAGTTCAAACTGGGATACATTATCAAGTTTTAGAATTGGGCGGTTGCATCAGGGTCAGCTCTATGACATAGTGAGCAAGAACTGAGAAATGTCTGAGCAGAAAAGGCCTGGACTATAGCTTTTAGGTCAGGAAAGAGGTAAAGAATGGACTTGCATTCATGAGACTGGAACTGTAGTTCAATTTCTTGACCAGATGGCTGTTGACATTATAACATAACTACTATGTGATCATTGGCTTTAGACAGCAGATGTTTGCCTTTGCTCTGGTTCTAAACAGCCCTTGAGAAAAGGATAAGACTGATAAACAGAAGCTATCCCTCTAGCAAGGTGTAGTTGTGTAAGTTTTGGTTTTTGTAGGAAAGACTAAAGTCCACAGTTTAGGAAGTGCTTGTAGTTGAAATAGGCCAGCAAGACAAATCTAGAATTGACAGCAATGAGGATCTCTTCTTGGCATAAGGCTCCCCTTAGGTATTTTAAATCCAGATGGTCCTTTGTGCTTAAGTTTAAACTGAAACAGTGTTCCAAATTAGGTGAACAAGACAAGTAGCTTCCCAGGCAATCCTTGGGTCAAGATGTGGGACTGTAAGAAGCTGAAGTGTGCATATTTCATTACTATAGTAGGACTACTTTCTGCATTTGGCCCAGCTTTGACTGTTAAGAAGTGGGTATTGTTAAGGTATGAGAGGTTCCTACATCTCAGCTCATTCTCTGGCAAAATACTCTAGTGCTGTACAACTCTCTCAGGGGATTTAAATGGTTCTTTTTTATGTTGTAATATGTTGGATCTAAACAAAAACTAATACATATGTTAATACATAATCATGATAGAAAAATTAAAAAATATAAATGATAGGGTGAAAAAAAAACCCCTTTGCCTAAAGATGGAATAACATGGCTCATCAAAATATAGGATGAAATAAAGAAAAAAATAAAGATGTCACTGAGGTTTAGGCTCTACTTTTGTTTAGTGCTCCCAGTCAATTTTCTTTTGATCCAGGCTTATCCTTTTTACATAAACTAATAAATATTCTTTCCATAACAGCAGCAGTTCAGAACATGGGTTGTGAATGGTTTATTTTCTTCTTTCTTCAGGCACAATAATCTTGGTGGCCGACCAAAAGGGCTATTCACTTTGGTAAAGAGTGGTGTTCCTGAGGCATTAAGGGCAGAAGTATGGCAGCTTTTAGCAGGATGCCATGACAACCAGGCAATGCTGGATAGATACCGAATTCTTATCACAAAGGTAGGAAATTCTTTTAATAATATTTTGATGAAGAAACATCAAATCATGTTTTTCAGAGCTCCAATAACTCATCAGTACCTTGAACGCCTTTAAAAATATATAACTGGTATGTGTTGTCAGTATTTTATTCTGTTTTGAACATTTGCAGGGTAGTGGTAAACAGTGCCTATAGTTTTGAACACTTGATTTCATTTTAAAATTCTGTTGAAGAAGAAACTTGAAGCAATAAAATTGATGTTGTAAAGGATTTGCTAATAAACTTGCTTAGGAAATACTAAGTTACACAAAGCTGATTTTCAGTAAAGGCGCAGTGCCTCCAGTATGCATGTAAGATAGTGTACTAACCAAGCCTGTGGAAGCTGCAGGAATGAAAATTTGGTATCCTAATTGAAGTTTAGGCTTGTGGACAAAGTTTCTGCTTATGGTTGTTCACCTAGGTTATCCTCCAGTTAGGTTCCATTCCCATAACAAAAGGAGACAGCCCTGACTTACAACCAGCCATTAGGCCCATCCCCAAATGAAACAACATGCCTCTACAGTGTAGTTCAGGGAGGCAGTGTAGGGGTTACACACATCAGTAAGTTCTTGTCTTCCATTAAGTCCCTTGTACTTTTATCAGGAAAAGCATAATTTTGTCAGGTGGACAAAATAAACCAGGGTAGTAACTATTCAAAATGAAGTACACTGATGGCAATATCTTTGCTGTGGAAATCTCCCACCTGCCCAAGTGGCCAGACTGGTGGTCTCCTGCCTTGTTCAAAGTGTATCCTGGGGCCATGACCTGAAAGAGATTTAAGGATGGCAGTCTGTGTAGAATGCATAAGGCTAAGGTATATATAAAGTTAGTAAAATCTTCTACTTGTGGTCACTCTTACTTAGTAGCTGGTGTCATAAGTCTTAATACAACTTAGCAAGATGGAGTAGTATGTTCTTTGTTTCAAGTTTGGCCAACTAAGTATTTCTTCCTCTGTCTCTTTCTCTTTCAAATATAACACTAGACATAGAATAGAAACCTTGTGGCAAGGTGACATATGACAAGTACATCAAAGAGAGTGTAGTCAGGAAAACAAGCATTTCGAAGTGTATTTATTGAAGGATCTAAGTTACTTGATCATTGGAAGCACTGAAAGAGTAAAATGGTGATCTAACTTTTAGCTTGCCGTTAGCTGGTCCAGAGAAACAAGAGGCTGCCATTTCTGCCGGGGAAAAAAACAAAAGAAAACAACAACAAAAACCAAAATCACAAGAAGATGATTCCACAGAATTCAGTCAAGTGATTGAGAGTGACATGCCCAAAGACAAAGCTAAAGCAAACCCTTAGTGAAGCTCTTGCCAGAGAGAAATCATGTGGTTTTCAGCTCCTTCCTACAATCTTCTCTGTAGAAAGTAGCTCACAGCCAGAACTCCAAGGGAAATGTAGCTCCTCTGCTTCCAAATACCTTTCACACATTATATTCAATAAGAATTTCTTTTTGCTACTCAGTCTCTTGATCTAAAAATTTCTCTGTATTCAAAGGCACCATTTTATTACACTGTGGACGGACGTATATCATCAGGATGTCATAAATAATATTGTGATACAATATCTTACATTCATGTCAGAGTTTGAAATCTTAAAAAGTATGAATTTAGAAAGCTTCTTAGTGGAGGAAGGGGTGTGGCTGTACCTGCTACCCCATGAAAAGTCATCAGAAGTACATAATGTGCTACTTAGACACAAATATGTAGTATTATATCATTGTGTCTAGACATGTATGATTAACAAAATTTTTTGAAAGAATAAACTTCTAATATACATATATATATTATTTACTATGCATAAGTGCTACTATACTAAAATATTATGGATAATTCATAAAGTATAGAAATTTAGACTTGTTTTAAAGGACAAAACAGATAATATTTGCTTCAAAATATACCACAAAGTATTATTCAATACTGAATATGGATCTTTTTACTTTTGTAATTTATTTAGTGAATTAACTGTCATATAATGTAAAATTTGTCATTTAAAAATAAATAGTTCAGTAGCTTTTATTATATTCATTGTGTTGATTAAGTTTCAGTACTCCATAATTTCAGAATATTTCTGGGGTTGTTAGGATCAAAGCCTGGGCTCTGACATCCCTAATAACATAGGCTCAGCCACTCATTCTCAACAGGCCAAGTAAAAAAGCATGTAATAGTGAAAAGAAGAGAAGGAAGATAGATTTAATGTGACTACACTGGAGAAGGTACAAAGAAGTCCACTGACCTCTCAGAGTCCATCTTCAGGACCCTGACATGAAACCTGGGTTCAAACAGAGAAGCCATTTAAACTAAATAGTCTGTCAGGGTGTTGTTCTGGTGACCCACCATTCTCTCACTCCTTGTTCTTGTGAGGTGGTCTGACAAATTGTTAGAACTGCATGACATCTCTTCCTGGGAGATCTCACTCTCTCATGAAGAGTTTTCTCTCTGGTTTTCATCAGTGCACCAGTCTTTTCCTTCTCCAAGCTCCTGAGCAAATTCCAATGTATGTCTCTTTAGAATCGCTTCATGGTGGCCAGGAAGACTACAAATATTTCTGTATTCCCCAAATAAACACTATACCTGTTAGGAGTAGCTGATAGCTCCCTTCTTCCCTCTTTCCTGAAAACCATTTATCTATATTCTATAGCTATAGACCTTCCCATTCTATTTTTCTATACAGTTCTATATGGAGAGTCATCAACATGGGCCATTATTTTAATATGTTTTAGCATATTATGAAACAGCAATTTGCAAATTTGTTTCTAAATCATTTTTTAATGGTTTTCATTTTTATTGTATCTGTAAAAGACCGGTAAAACCAAGTAGAAATGTATCATTCTTTTCAGCCCTACCATCAAGTGTGTTGCTGAATTTAGGTTAGAATATTACCTGTTCTCCCTATGCTAGTCAGTTCTCTCTCTCTCTGTCTCTTTCTCTGTCACTCACTCACTCAGTCTTTTTTTCTTCTTTCTCTTAGGGGTGTGTGGGTAATAAATGAGTCTACCATTCATCTTTATTTCCAGCCTTTTTGGTTATTTTTTTAATGATTTATTTATTTTTATTTTTTTCTGTGCATTGTTATTTTGCCTGCATATATGTCTGTGTGAGAGTGTTGGATCCCCTGGAACTGGAGTTTCACGTAGTTGTGAGCTGCCATGTTGGGTGCTGTAATTGAACCCAGGTACTCTGGAAGAACAGCTAATGCTCTTAACCACTGACCCATCTCTCCAGTCACTTTAAATATTTTTAATGGATGTATCAGAAGTTGAAACATATTTATACTTTTATCATTTTATTCCACAATCTCTGTAACTTTCTGTACAAGTTTTAAATGTACAGTTTCTCATTTCAAGTTACTAAGTGTGACAATATAAGAAGGGGTGTGTGTGTGTGTGTGTGTGTGTGTGTGTGTGTATTAAGGAGGACTGTATATGTGTAAATTCAGGAGAGTACTTCCCTGTGTGATGTGCAGAGGCCAGAAATTGACATCAGGAACCTATCTATTGCTCTCCACCTTATATTTTGAGACAGGATCTCTCATTGTACTGGCAAGTTTTATGTCAACTTGACACAGGCTAGAGTCATCAGAGAGGAGATTAGTCTCAGTTGAGAAATGCTTCCATAAAATACAGCTGTAGACAAGCCTGTAGGACATTTTCTTGAGGGATCCGGATGCAGAGATCCATGGCCAGGCCCCGGGTGGAGCTCTGGGAGTCCAATTAGAGAGAAAGAGGAGGGTTTATATGAGCAAGAATTGTTGAAACTAAGGTTGGATAAAGCACAGGGACAAATAGCCAAACGAATGGAAGCACATGAACTATGAACCAATGGCTGAGGGGCTCCCAACTGGATCAGGCCCTCTAAATAGGTGAGACAGTTGATTGACTTGATCTGTTTGGGAGGCATCCAGGCAGTGGGACCACGTCCTGTGCTTATTGCATGAGTTGGCTGTTTGAAACCTGGGGCTTATGCAGTGTCCTTAGCTCAGCCTGGGAGGAGGGGACTGGACCTGCCTGGACTGAGTCTACCAGGTTGATCTCATTCCTCAGGGGAGGCTTTGCTCTGGAGGAGATGGGAATGGGGGTGGGCTGGGGGGAAGGGGAGAGGGGCGGGAAGGGGGAGAACAAGGGAATCCGTGGCTGATATGTAGAACTGAATTGTATTGTAAAATAAAATAAATAAATAAAAGAAAAAAGAAAACAAACAAACAAAATAATATTTAGTGTTTTTCAACAACTATCTTGAGCCACTCAGCTATTTTATGAGGGTTAAATGAAAACTACTAGAGAGCATAGAGACTACTAATCTTTTAAAAAATAATTTATTTTTACTAATTTTAAATAAATTTATTTATTTTTAAATCTTTTTGTAAGATTTATTTTTATTATTTTTAATTATGTATACATGTATAGAGCTGTATGTGGCTATGTGCATATGAATGCAGGTGCCTATACAGGCCAAATGTCATTGAATCCTCTGGAGTTGGAATTACAGGCAGTTGTGAGCCACTTAGTGTGGCTCTGGTCTTTTGGAGGATTGGAATCTGCTCTTTTAACTACTGAACCATCTCTCCTGTCCTGCAATTTGACTTTTAATGAAAAAGAAAGATGGAAAAGATGCGGGTAGGTTACCTCCCTGCTTAATACTGCTTGTTATTGGTGGCATTATTTCAAACCTGTTATAGAATATTTTATTAAAAATATACATGATATTTATGGCTTATTTTATAATGATAAATGTTTACTAGTTGCTACTTGACTGACGAGCAATATATAATTAAAATCATAACAAATATTTTCATATTCCATTTATAAATAAATGACAAAATTTTAATGTTATTCCAGTTATAAAAAGGACACTGTCAAAAACATTTTTTTGTACAAAGAGTATAGAAATCTGTTGCTCTTAGTCAAGCTTTCAAGTCATAACACTTTTGTGACAGGAAGTACAATAGTATTTTGATTTTATTGTCTTCTCTGCATCATTGC